GATTCAACATGAAAGAATAAAGCATATTGAGATTGACAGACACTTCATTAAAGAGAATTTAAATGATGGGCTGATTTGCATGCCATTTGTGATGACCAAGGAACAACTAGATGATGTATTTACCAAGTGGCTTAGTAGTAGAATCTTTCATTTCGATGCATACAGGTGGGACAGGATATCTATGCTCCAACTTGAGGGAAAGTGTAGAATGTTAGATTATTTCAATTAAGGGTATTATTGTAATCTTCACTTTATTATTAGTTAATATAAATATAGGTGATGAGTAGAGAGACTAATTAACTCTCATTCTCCTAAACCCTGTTTTCTAATCTCTTCCTTCTCTTCCCTCTTCCATTGCCTCTTCTCAATCTAAACCCTAATTTTTAAGATTTTTAAATTTCAACTATAAAAAAGGATATAAAACATACATACTATGGGGTGTTTCATAGTGTAACAACTCTCAAGATTTTAGAAAACCTGCTAACAAAGAATTGGAAATAGTTTGACAATCACCATGTCTTCTAAATGTCTTTCTCGAGACATAACATATCGTGAGAGTGCGGATACTAGGACGGATCGTAGCATCAAATCCCACGATCTAGATAGGGATTATGATAATCAAAGATTAAAATATCGTTTCGAAACGATCGAAACATCCGAAACGTTTCCGTTTTCAGAGAGATCGAAACGAATCAGTGATGAAATCAAAATTTTAACATTTTGAGGTGTTTCATATTGTTTTGAATATTTAGTTCTATTACAATGCATTTGCACAATTATTTCAGAATATTTCAAGGTATTTTCAGATATTTTAGTATATTTTGACTAATGTTTTGAAAAAAATAATTTTTAATTTTTTTTTTCATTATGTTTTCAAAAGGGGTCGAAACGTTTTCGAAACATGTCGAAACGTTTACATTTCCTAGGTGACCGAAACAATGCGCCAAAACTAAATTTTGATCCTTAATGATAACCACAAAATGGCATACCACTTAGTATATCATAGAGAGTATTTTACCACCTACCCGTTCTTGTATCAGATTCCAAATCAACATGCAATCTAGCTATCATTTGAGTGAGGATGAGGGAAAACAAATGGCAACATCAAAGCCAATAGAAAAGGGAGCAACATTTTCCTACCAATGCGGAGTAGTACTCTCCTTACTTGTGATAAGATACGTTTTCTGTGAAGAATCAAAGGACAAAACTAATCATATTTTTCCTCGCTATCCACATCTGTACTCAGAAAATAAAAGAATAATAATTAATACCACCATAGTTATCAAATCGTGTATCGGAAGGCGTATCGTAAGATACAAATATTTGTATCGTATCGTGTATCGTAAGATACGATGCAATTTTAAATAATAATAAAAAAATATATATACCTTTGAAAAAAGTCATACACTCATAAAAAATATAGCATTTCATTAATACTCCACCAACTATTCAAGTTATCAACATAATCCACTACTATTATAATGTAAAGTTCACAACCATAGTTCACTAATTCAAACTTTAAACACCAAAGAGACTTCTAATCCAAATTTCTAACATCCATTTTGAAACTCAATCTTCAATTTCAATTGAAAATGCATCATCATCATCATCATTGTGATCGGATGCCAACAAGTCTTCACTTCCTTTATCATCTTCAACTTCTTGTATTTGTTCATCCTCATCCTCATCCTCATCTTCAAGTTGAACTATTTGCTTTCCTTTTTTCTTGTATAACGTAAGATTTCTAGGCCCTACAAAGCAACCAATACAAAATATAAAAAAAATAATGGAGAAGAAGAAAAAACAACCACTACATTTTAATTACCTCTCTTTCTCTTTTTGCTAGTCGCTTCTTGAACCTCAAAACATTCACCAACATTCATCCAAGTAGTGTCCTCAGGAAGGAGTGCATCTTCTTTTTCAGTGATCCACTCATCATCAGATTCTATATCTGAGAGAGAAATAGGATCATAGGAATCACCCTCTAGTATTCTCTTTTGGTGTCTTGCCTCCAATCGAAGATTGTACTTCACAAACACAAGTGCACTTAATCTTTGTTGCTCTAATCGATTTCTCCTCTTAGAGTGCACCTGGTCAAATGTACTCCAATTCCTCTCACATCCAGTGGCACTACAAGTCAAGCTAAGGACGCGGAAAGCAAGTTGTTGCAACTCTGGACAACATCCTCCAAATGATTCCCACCACAAGGCTATAAAAAATTACAATAGAATACTCCATTAACTAACTTAAGCAGTTGCATTCAAATAACTAACTTAAGTTAAGTTACCACTAACCAGGTTGTTTCTTCTTCCTCATTTGGATTGCCATGTCCATTCCAAACATCAAATCAGCATTATGAAAGATATCTAATTATTTATCAACTTTTCTCTCATAATAGGACTTGGGCACATTCTCTGAATAGTCTGATATAGTCTCATCTTTATCTCATAGTCCGCACTACCGGTGTAATGAAACCTGAAATAATTATTTTGATTTACAATGATCATTGATCAGCATACAATATATAGATATAAAATGATATAAAAATTGAGAAAATTAAGTCTTACGCGGGATTGAGATAATAGGCAGCTGCATGAAGAGGTCTGTGTAATTGCATGTTCCATCTAGTGTCAACAATAGTCCATATGGGCTCATAGTGCTTCTTCACATTACGAAAATTCTTTTGGATTTGTTCCTTTGCCTTGTCCATTGCCTCATAAATATACCCCATGGCAGGCTTTAGATCCCCATCTATAAGCCTCAACACCTTCACCAATGGCAACACACACTTCAAGCAATACTTGATTGATCTCCAAAAATTTTGGTCAGCTAGTATAATATCCATCACTTTTACACCATCTCCCTTCTTACAATATTGACTTCTCTGCCATTCCTCAGAAGCAAACATTGCTCTAAGCCCAATTTTATTTTCAAATAAACTCCTTAAAGTTAAATATGAGGTGGCAAATCTGGTCACACAAGCTCTCACCAAATCCCTTTTCTTTGTATACTTTCTCATAAGATTTAACACCCAAGAATGTCTATAAATGTAAACTGTGATTTTCCTTGCCTTTGACATTATATCCTTGTGCAGAGGAAGGTCCCCAATATCCGTCAAAATGAGATCTAGACAATGTGCACCGCAAGGAGACCAAAACAACTTTTTCCTCTTTGCCATTAACAACTCCCCAGCTTTTACAGAAGCCGATGCACTATCAGTTACAACCTGAACAACATTATCCTCACCAATCTCTTCTACCATTGAATCTAAAAGCTCAAAAAGATTATCCGCATTCTTACAAATACCTGAAGTATCAATACTTTTAAGACACACACTTCCTCTAGGACTATTCACTAAAAAATTAGTGATAGAGCGATGTTTCCCATCAGTCCATCCATCAGACATAAGAGTACAACCCGTCCTTCTCCACTCTGCTTTATAATTTTCCATCAACCCACCATTAATTAAATTTGTTTCTTTTTTCAAAAAAGAACATCTCACCTCATGATACGATGGAGGTTTCAATCCCTTACCAAACGATGCAACAGATTCTAACATTCTTACAAAATATGGATCCTTTACCAAATTAAAAGGAAGGGCATTAGCATAAAAACATCTACAAATATCCAAGCATACATCTTCCCTACCCTTTTTCTTCAACATAGTATTCAAAGTAATTGTGGTGGTTGGCTGTATTTTATCAGCAGTAGTATTACCCACACTGCCACTACTTTTCGAATCCACAAGACTCATATCTTTGTTAATTGCCCTATCATCCAATAATTGCTTAAAAAATTCAGTTACTTCCTCAGGACAATGCTTACACGCTGCTACATCTTTGCGATTACTTGCCAAATGATTTTTCATTCTTGAAATGCCTCCCCAATAGACATTTGCACAATGAATGCATTTCAATTTCAACCTTGATCCTTCTACTTTGTCACAATGCTCCCATGTGGGATCATTAGCAAGTTTTTTAGTCATTTCTATATGAAAATTGGATGCAGGTGATGCCACTGTTGCACAAAATTAAAATTAATCAAGATTCAGAAATTTTTATACAAAAAAATTTATATACATTTGGCTTTGTAAATAAATTAATATCATTACATACTGCACAGGACCAACGATCAATGGAGACTGGGAAGAAGAAGAAGAAGACGAAGTAGTAGAAAAAGGAGTACCTGGAGAAGGAAGAAGGCAGCGATCAACACCCACAGTCGGAGACAAGCAATCACCCACAGACGAAGACCAGCAATCACCCACAGTTGGAGACCACCCACAATCGATCACCACCCAGAGTCGAAGACCACCCACACAGTCGAAGACCACCCACAGCGATCGCCACCTACAACGTTCACCACCCACAGTCGATCATCACCCACAGTCGATCACTACCCACAGCAATCACCACCCATAGCGATCGCCACCCACAGTCGATCACCACCCATAGCGATCACCACCCATAGCGATCGCCACTCGTCGTCGATGGCTGAAGAGAAACCAGAGACAGTCTATAGCGATCGCCACCCACAGTCGATGGCTAAAGAGAAACCAGAGACGTCGTCGATAGCAAAGGCAAATATGTGAGAAATGAGGGATTTTTTTTTTGTAACCCTAACCATTGAAACGACGTCGTTTCAGTGGTTATAGGGATTAAAAAAAAAAAAATCAGAGCACAAAACGACGTCGTTTATAAAAAAAAAAAAAAAAAAAAATTGCACGTATCGTGCGTTTCGTACCGATACGTATCGTATCGTAAAAACGTATCGTGTATCGGACGATACAACGCAAAAACGATACGTTTTTAACTACGATCCGTATCATTTTAGGGCTGTATCGTACGATACGTATCGCGTATCGTACGATACTAACAACTATGAATACCACAAGAAGCCTCCAATCCTGACAATGTACTTCATTTTTGGTGGAGCAACCACCTTTATGTTCATGTTGCTTGGGGGTGATGTGGCAATTTTCCTTCCTCATGTTGTTAACAATGCCAGGGAACATAGGTAACCGGCGGTTCACCAACAGAATCAGTCTGGCAAAATCTATGAATTCAAAAAAATATGAAAGAGAAAGCAAGACGGAGAAGATGAGGGTATATAGGTAGTTTTTTGAATCTTGTTTATGTAATTAATGGTGCATTTTGGTCCAAATACCACATGAGAATTATGACTATTTTTTAAAGGTGGGGGAGGTGACATACATTGGCGGTCTAACTTCAAGGAAGTAAAATGAAGCTTTCCTGAGAAATTTATTTGTTTCTTTGGAAAATAATAGTGGATTCTAGAGGCACGAGAATGATTGTTAGATATATTGACAGGATACACTACAATATGGTGTGGCTGTGATTAAAGTGAATTGTTACCCACTGTTTCTTTTGCCCCATAAATGGATTAATAGCATAGATACATCAAGATGAGGCTTCATAGATTATGCTATTTGCTGATAATATTGTCTTGATTGGTGGAACTAAAATAGGAATTAATAGTAGATTATAGATTTGGAGATAAATATTGAAATCAGGATGGTTTAAAATATGTTGGACTGAAAAAAAATGTGGAGTTGTAAAGGTAGAACTAGAAATGTAGAGCTTCTGCAGATTGAAATCTCATTGATACCAAAGAGTGACCAATTTCATCATGTATGTTTGATTGTTAATGAGTAGAAGATTAGAGATGCTACTTGTCATAATATTATAATTGACAGTCTCAATTACGGGAATGCTTCCGGCATATTATGCAATTGACAGATGCTGGTGAAATTGAAAGTAAAATTTCACAGGATGGCTATAAGGCCAACAAAGCTTTACATGTCAGAAGGTTGGACATTATGGTGAGATGAGCATAGTAAAATGAATACGTGATAAATAAAAAGATGGAATTAGAAATCACAAAACAATATGCAAAGCAACAATGAAATTAAATTGATACAAAAGCACTTGAAACGACTTGAACATATACAACGGAGAGCCATAGATGTATTTGTGAAAAATATTGACATCATAATCATTATTGGAAGTACTAGGCGAACAGGAAGACCTAGATGAACAAAGAATGTAGTGAAAAAGGATTTGGTCACTTGTAATTGGACATATTGTTTCTGACCTTGCAGGAGGGGAAAATTCATATAGCTGATCCCATATATTTGAGAGAAATCAGTGTTGTGTTTGGTTTGGTTTGGTTTAGTCTATCCTTAGTTATCAAATAATGAAAAAAAGGAGTGTATTTGGGGTTCATGGTTTGGCTAACCGAGAAGTTATTTTTGAAAATTTCATTGTTTCTTTACATTTCTTTTTTTGTCTTTGTAAATTTCTATATTATATTGCTTTGTGCTTACAAGTCTGGTTTCTGTTTTCCTTAAATATATTTTTGCAGGGATCTTGGCAATTCAAATTTGTCTGGTTACCTGGTAGCTGACCTTGGGAAACTTGAACATCTGCAGTATCTGTGAGTATATTTTTATTCTTGGCTAGTCTATTTGCTAGAATGGATGCATAGGTGGGGTTATGAATACTACCATTTTTGCAAATCATTTTCAACAAATCAGTAGTTGGTTGCAATGATATTGATGGTATTTTGTGCATAGCTGGTACATATATTTCAGCCTATTGGAATTCTAATGAACCTTTTGTTGATGCAGGGAGCTTTACAAAAACAACCTTCAAGGGAGAATCCCCATTGAGCTTGGTAACTTGAAGAGCCTAATAAGCTTGGATTTGTACAACAACAATATCTCTGGAAGCATTCCTCCATCACTCGGGAAGTTGAAATCTCTTGTGTTTTTGTAAGTTGAACCATAGCATATTTGTCTTTTCAATACCGGATTCAAGAATGTGTATGTTAAAGAGAAACTGCTGATATATTAGTTGTCATCCATTTAGTTGTGCATAAACCATCATTGAGATTTTATACTAAACTCTGTCTCTCTCTCGGAAATAGAAATGTTTAGAAAATGTTTGAGAAACGTAGTGGAAATAAAGAATTTTTAAAAAAAAAAATATGGAAACATAAGAATCAAATATGCAATTTGGTGTATAGTTTCCGTGGAACATCTGGAAACACACACGAGGATCAAACATGCATTTCAGTGTATAGTTTTGGTCCGTTTGGAAGCAGAAATGTTTTCAAAAACGCAGTGGAAACAATTTTTTTTTTTTTTGAAAACATGTGGAAACATACTGAAAGATAAATTGAAATCTGTTTATTTATATTGATAAGTTTAATAATTGATAAATTGAACTTGTTTATTGTCTTAACATCCATTTATACTAGATATCCTAAAGTTGGAGAAGGGGAAAAAAAAGTTAATATGAGGCGAAAATCATTTCAACTTTCAAACACTTAAATTTTATCAAATAGAAACGCTTAAAGGAAAGTTAAGTTCTTAGGAATATTAACGTCTCATACTAGAATTGAAGTGCTCATGAGCATCTTAAGAATTGAATGTATTTATAGTAGAAAACCACATCCATTCTGCCGTAGAAATAATTTGGAAGCATAATGAAAACAAAGGAAAATTGTTGAAAATTTATTTGCAAAACATTCTAAAAGATTGATTGAAATATACCGAAGCACACATAGTATACCATAACACCTCGAAGCAATGAATGTTGATTTTCAATCAGTAACTAGTTTTAGTTTCCATAAATGGAGAAACGTTTCGGCTCTTTCAACCATTTTGAAACAAAATCAGTTCTTTGGACACACATATATACAACTCAACTAAACAAAGCCTTTGTCCCAATATTTTGGGATTGGCTATATGAATTCTATTTTCTCCATTGTGATCTACAAGGGGCTTTTTTTGTAAAATTGCAAGCTATAATATCCTTTATTATCATACAAAGTTAATTTTGGCGTGCTTCTACCTCAGTCATTGCCACTGATATTACATATGTACACACTTGTGTATTTGTATTTGAGACATAAGTACACAGTACACAGAAACATGCATATTGCACACACTTGGATGCGCATCTTCTTGCATTAATTATGAGTCAGTAATCCCTAGTTTTTGGCAGGCGTCTTAATGATAATCATTTGACTGGGCGAATCCCGAGGGAACTTGCTGATATTTCCAGCCTAAAAGTTGTGTAAGTTACTCCACTTATGTTTTCCTTGGAATAATTGATATTGCATTCATGGACGTCAGGTTATAAAAATATCTCCATATCTTCTCCAGGGATGTCTCAAACAACAATTTGTGTGGAACAATTCCTATTAAAGGTCCATTTGAGCACATCCCATTGAACAAGTAAGGTTTCCTTGATTGATATCCTCCTCCAGTATTGTTTCTTGTCCTTGGCCAGTCCTCCACATCCAGTTGAATTGAGGATGTTGTTTCGAACATTTTGTGTCGAAATTTTAAACCTCGGACATTGGAATGCACTTTTCCCTTTTATATTATTTTAATTCTTACATCTTAGTATTAGACATTGATCTTATGAACCTTGCATATGGAGAAGATTCTGTGACTTATTAACACATATTTTCATTTAAACACTGCACATATGAATTATTGATGTGAGACATATACTGCTCAACTAGTTTTCTTAGGACTGTTTACGGTGTCAACAAAACTTATGTTGATTTTGTTGTAATTTGTTTTTGATAATAGTAGTCTTGTTTTCCTAATAAATGCAACAATCAGTATCAATAACATGGTTGTAATGGTTACAACCAAATCAAAATCACCAAAACCAAAAAAAGATGTGGTTGGCAAATTTCTAAAATAAAACCGTCTCTTGTTAGTGGCCTCAAAAGATACATCCTATTAATTGAAAATCTAGTTCATATGTAACTGAGCAATTGTTGAAGTCAAGGTGGGAATAAGCTCTCTCTCTCACGTACACGTATGCATGTACTCCCTGAAGATCTCGCAATCCATATGTTTTCTGGAATCTCAACTCAACTCAACTCATCTCGGTCGTAATCTTAACTATATGGGGTTAGCTGCATGAATTCTATTTCTCCATTGCGCCCTATCGAGGGCTATTCCGTTACCATAAGCTATCATATTTTTTTTTTTAACTATTTCGTTTACAATTATTTCAGACCTCCTTTTACCTCTCGCATTAGTATCGATATGTATCAAATCACTCTTCCTTACTGGGGCATTATTAGGTCTTCTATAAACATGTCCAACCACCTAAGTCCAGTGTCTCTTAATTTATCTCATACTAGTGTTACTTCTATGGTTTTACTAATACAATCATTTCCAATTCTATCATTTCTTATTTTATCACACATTCATCTTAACATTCTCCTTTCTACAACACAGTTTTTTAGCGTGTTATTTCTTAATTGCCCAACTTCTAGTCCATAAAACATTGTTGTTCTAAAGGTTGTCATATAAAACCTACCTTACCTCGGGGGTATATGTCGATCACATAATACACCAGAAGCATTCCTTCATTTAGTCCATCCTGCTTTAATTCTATGATTAACATCATTTTCAATCTCTCCCTCTGATAATTGATCCCAAATACTTAAAGTGTTTGCTCTTCGGTATCTCTTGATCTTTGATCTTTACTACCTCCCTATTTGGGTTTCTACTATTACTAAAACTTCATTCCATATATTTGGTTTTATTTCTCCTTATCCTACATTGTTTTGATTCTAAAGTTTCTGTTGGTAGTTCCTACTTTAGTTGCTTCAATCAAGACTATATTATCGGGAAATAATATACACCATGGAACTTTATCGTGAATGTTTCTAATCAATTCATCCATAATTAAGACAAAGAGATACAGTCTTAAAGCAAAACCCTGATGTAGGCCTACCATGGTTGTGAATTCATTACTTTCTGCTGCAGTTGTTATAACTAAGGTCACTGCATTCTTATACATATCCTCAATCACTTAAATATATTTATCCGTAACTCTTTTCTTGTCTAAAACCTGTCATATTACGTCCTTAGACACTCTATCATTCGCCTCTTTTAGGTCTATGAACACTATAAGGATAAATGATATTCTGTTTGCAGAATGGATTGCCCCTCACGATTATAAACGTGGGATTATAAACTACCTAAAGGGGGGTTGAATATGTTGATTAAAATTATACTTAAACTTAATTTTCACCTATTTACCATAATTACCTCTTCTCAAAAATTAATTCATTGATTGAATTTGAGAACCCTTTTTATACTAGAACAACCCAATTTATCATGATGATGGATGTAATGAATTTCTTCAATTTTATTGATTAACACTCAATCAGTCAAGGTGATCCCAACCATCGCAATAACTTACGACCAAACTACTATGTATGATAAGATGCTAAATCTATCATATCAACAAACACAGTGTCCGTGTGTGCTACAAATCATGAGTGTATCAAATAAAGCAATAAAGACCACAAGAGATTTGTTGACGTAGAAATACTCATCGAAAAAAACTGCGAGGAACCACCTGGGGACACCAACGTATAATCCACTACCCCACAATTAATTTACAAGTACTTGAGTTTTATATCTCAACCAATACCATGATTAGACATTCATTTCATTTAGCAGATATCTCAACTGGATACACCCACCTAGTGCTATTTTAAGCGTAAAGTGAATCGAAGTGAATTAGTCACCAGAGGCCTAGGTGAGTAGTGAAAGGCGAAGTGAGCAGAAAAACCATCACCAAAAAAAAAAAAATCAACAAAAGAAGCAAACCATCAATTAAAAAAAAAACAGATGCAGGATTTTAGTAGAAGCAACATCATAGCAAAAAAAAAATAAATAAATAAAAACAAAGTTCAAGTAGGAGAAGAAAGGGGAAGAAGTAGAAGAGGAGAAGAAGAACTAGAAAATTCAAAAGAAGAAGAAAGTTAGATTATCAAGTTAAGAAGGCTTAGAGAGGAGAGGAAAAAAGAGAAGAAGAATATGGAAAAGAGTAGTGTGTTAGGTTACACAGCTACACCCTGCTGTTATATACAATCACAAAGTACAAAATTACCCATAGTCTAGAAATAACATATAACATAACACTCCCCCTTGAGTTAGTGTATAACTATCCCTTGTGTCCAACTTGTAAGCAATGGGATGAAAAATTTTACTACCAAGGCCCTTTATGAAAACATTAGTCAATTGGACTTCTAGTTTCACAAAAAGGCATACAAATCAAACCCTTATTTAACTTCTCTTTGATGAAATGCCGATCAATTTCTACATGTTTGGTCTTGTCATGTTGAATTGAATTATGAGCTATATTAGTAGCAGCCTTCTTGTCACAATATAATCTCATAGGTCCATCATTATGAATTCCCAGCTTTCCTAATAGTGTTTGGAGCCATATAAGCTCACAGATTTCATGGGACATTGCTTTGTATTCAGCTTCTGTACTAGATGTAGCCACTGCTGCTTGCTTCCACCAACACTACTACTCAGTCGATGGTTGACTTCAATAGGAGAATCTGTAGGTTTGTATCCCAACATCTCTGTCTCTTTAAAAAGGTCATGAACATACTTTGTCTGGGATATAAAGATATCTCAGTCTGATTTGGCAATCTTAATTCTAATGAAATATCTCAGTAAACCTAAGTTTTTGATTTCGAACCCCTTGGCCAACTCACTATATCATCCACCTGTACAATAAGAACTGTAATCTTTCCATCAACCCGTCTGACGAATAAGGTATAATCTGCCTGACTCTATTTGTATCTAAATTTTAGCATAGCTTTGGAAAACCTATCAAACTAAGCTCTAGGAGATTGCTTCAACCAAGAGATTTCTTCAACCTACACACTTTTCCTTCGGTCATTGGAGATGAAAAACTTGGACTAATCTCCATGTATACTTACCCCCCAAAATCTCCGTAAAGAAAGACATTCTTCACATCCAATTATTGTAAACTCTACCCCAAATTTGCTCCACAAGAGATAAGAGCACGTGGACTTCATCTTTGCCATAGGAGCAAAAGTATCTTGATAATCAATACCATATGTCTGAGTAAATCCCTTAACAACCAACCTAGCTTTGTATCTCTCAACAGTCCCATCAACTTCTTGTTTGATAGAATGGTTCCTTTACTATAGCTACTCGTCAGTTAGAATTAGTGAGAGCTTCTTTTCAACCTTGAGGAATGGACATAGTAGATAAGGAGGAAATAAAAGTATGATAAGATGGAGACTGGGAATCATAATTGACAAAATTTGAGATAGGATATTGCGAACAAGCTCGAACACCCTTTCTGACTGTAATAGGCAGATCATAGTCATCAACAATTAGATTATCAATAATAAGAGTAACATCTGGAGGTTCATTACGTGGTAAATCAATGGAGGATGGAATTGGAGTGGAGGAATTCGACTAATGCGGCGGCACATGGGTAATATGTACTTTTTGACGTTGAGAGTAAGTCTTCAAATTATCCTTGTGAAGGTGAAAGCCATATGAATTACTACCATCATCTCTTTTCTCCATAAAGATGTTTTACAAAATCTCTTCCCCTATAGTTGTATTCTCCCCAGAGATGTCTGGTTAGTAGAGGACTCAAATTCACAAAAGGTAACATCCATGTTAACATGATAACATTTATGTCCCTTGTGGATGACAGAGTAACCAACAAAAACACATCGTAGAGCCTTAGGGTTAAGTTTTTCCTTAGAGGGTTTGTAATCGTATACAAAACAAACACACTCAAAAATTTTAGAGGAAGGGAAGAAATAGAAGGAATGGAAAAAGGCTTAGAAAGATACTCGATAGGAGACCTAAACTGGAGGACACTCGAGGGTAAACGATTTATAAGATAAGCAAGAAGAACTACATTCCCCCAAAAAGATTGAAGAACATTCAAGGCAAACATTAATGAGTGAGTAACCTTAAGAAGTTGACAATTTTTTGCTTAGCAACACCATTTTGCTTAGGGGTACGCATATAAGTGGTTTGGTACAAGATTCTATTTTCATTGAGATAAGAACGAAATTCTCCATGAATAAACTTGGTTCCATTATCACTTCAAAGAATTTTGATTTTGGCGTCAAACTGAGTTCTAATCATTTTATGGAAAGATTTAAAGCATGGGAAAACTTCATGTTTACTGCGTAATAGCGAAACTCAAGTAAGATAAGAATAACAATCAATAAAGGCAACTAACTAACAATAACTAGAAGTAGACACAATACGGGAAAGCCCCACACATCTGAATGAATAATGGTAAAAGGTGCAGTGCTTTTATGGTTAGTACTTCGGATAAAATGAATGTTTGTGCTTGGCAAATTTACAAGCATCACAAACAAATGATTGTCTACTATACTGTTTCA